CACACATACACACACGCACGCACGCAAGTGCACCCACAGAGCCAGGGACTGAACTCAGGGTCTTTGTGCAGCCCGCACCTTTTCTCACTGATCTGTCTCGCTGGCCATTTTAGCCCATCATAAATGCATACCTCCATGGAATTCCAGACATTTACCATCCTCCGTCTGCAGACTCTGCTTTATCTTCTGAAACAGAAACTCCATATTCCTTAAAGGACACCTCCCCTCAGTCCTTTCCTTCCTTAGACCCTGGCAGCTCCGTCCTAGTTCCTGTCCCTCTAAAATCATCCTTCCACCTAAGTGGGATTGTTTATCTTGTTTTCTGAGTGCCTCTCCTTGGCCTACAACTTGGCAAGTTAGCTGTGCTGTGGCCAGGAAGCCCCAGGAATCCTCCTGTCTCTGCCTCGCCAGCACTGGGGTCATGCACAACCACACTCAACCATTTAACGTGAGTGCAGGGCACAGAACTCAGGTTCTTACACCTGCCCTGACCAAGGTGCTTTACCAGATGAGCTATCCCAGTCCCGGCATTTAGCCCTCTTTCTTATTTTTTATTATTTGTTTATTTTTGGTTTTTCAAGACAGGGTTTCTCTGTGGCTTTGGAGGCTGTCCTGGAACTCGCTCTGTAAACCAGACTGGTCTCCAGCTCACAGAGATCCGCCTGCCTCTGCCTCCCAAGTGCTGGGACTAAAGGTGAGAGCCACCATGCCCAGCTACCAGGCCATTTCTTCCTGTGTAGCTCTCTATGGTTTGCAAGGCCTGAATCACGTCTGTGTTGGTGCCTTTCTTCTGTCCTCCTGTGCCTGGGGACACACAGCTCCTCTTCTGTGGCCATGCTTGTAGGCTGTAGCTTAAAAAAACGGACATTTGCGTGTGGACACTGAGTCCTCAGGTTTATGCAGCGAGCGTTTCGTTACTGAGCCGTCTCTCAGCCTTTCCTTGAGTCAGGGTCTCGTGTATTTCCGGTTGGTCTGGAGCTCACTGCACTGAGCAGCTGAGGGTGACTGTGAACTGCTAACCTCTGCGTCTGGGATTTCAGGCATGCACCACCACGGCGTGGGTGCAGCAAGAGCTTCTTGCACTTGAGGCAAGCAAGCACTCTTTCAGCTGGGCTACGCGGGCCCAGCCCTGAGGCTCCTCTTTGACCTCGGTCCTCAGAGTGCTGGTCCTCTCGGTCCACCGTTCTCATGGTTGGGTAGTGACTGGTGGGTTGTTGATGGGATTGGCCAACAGCGGGAGGACTGTTTGTCTTCCTTGAAATAAAATTCTCAGTTATAGACGGTCAGTGCCTTTCTGGGCCTTCAGCATTATAGGGTTACAATTGTTTACTGTCTGTTTTAGAGCCCCCTCTGTTGTCTAAATTTGGAGTCAGAATTACATAGATCCAAAGACATGGGTCAGAGGCGGAGCCTAGCATGTATATTCTGAGTTCAGTATTGCACACTGCAAAAATAAGCCAAGCGTGTACATGTGTTTTGTCTCCGCCTGTGTGTATGTGTGTGCATGTGCAATGTGTGTATGTGTGTATATGTGTGCATGTGTTTGCGGTGTGTGTGTGTGTCAAGCTTTACTCTATGTTATCTCTCTCTTAAGTCTTGCCTTCACGTTCAGTATACTGGACTCCAGAGAGACAGTAATTGATCTGATCATGATTGTGGGCTGTGGCAAAAGACAAAAGGGAATCTGTGAGCTACAGGATGCCTGTTCTGAAGGACAATAGCAATCTCCGCAGGAGCGAGCTGCTGCGGCCTCACCACGCTGGGAAGGACCTCTGTCTCAGGATGCTTGCATGCTCCTGGCCTCTGTCTTGACTACCCCAGAGCCTCTGCGCCTGGGAATGAAGAGCCAGGACATGAGCATCTAGCGAGGACGCCTGCCCCTCTTGGAGCAGGCAAATGGGAACTGAACGAGGTAGCTGGTTTATCACCGTAAATCAGAGCCCCGGCATTTGGATTTGTATACCATTGATCTTTTCCTAATTTACTTTGCGCCGCTCTGAGCAGTGGCAGAGTGTGATACAATTGTGCTTTTACTCTTAACTTTGATGTTTATTTAGTGTGTGTGTGTGTGTGTGTGTTTGCACACATGCTCGGGGATGGGACACTCATGGGTACGGAGGTCAAAGGACATCTTCCCAGAGTCCCCTTTCTCCTTTCACCGAATGAGGGTGGAACTCCATCCATTAGGGTTGGCAGCAAGCCCCTGCACACACTGAGCCACCTATCCGTCCCCAGCTGTGCTGTTAAAGATACAAAACGGACAGTCAGATTTGGTCACTGGTGATGGCGGTGAGGTAGGATTGGGCCCCCCACTCTCCTTGAGCATTTTAAAATGCAGCCATTGTTCCTTCTACCTCGCCCTGACCTCAGAAACGCTCCAGTGGCCCGCTCTGCAACCGGCCTCAAATGAACAGGAGAAAGCCTCAGACTTTCTTTCATCTCTCCGTGTTGTCAGATGAGGGCACAGGTGACCCCGTCTCACATTTACAGGAAGTGGCTTCTTTTCAAACGCCGCGGGAGGCTAACGCCATTGTAGTCCCTTTTCTTCTTCTTAGTTCCCGGGCTCTCACATCCCAGGACAGTCTACAAAGAGGGAAGGCTCCACAGTGCTACTCCTAGTCTTCCACCCCAAGCAACCTTAAATTAAAAAAACAAACAAAAAAACAAAAAAACCAGAGCAACAAACCAGACTAGACTGTCCAGCTAGAGAGACGGCTGGATGGTTACTAGTGCTTGCAGCACAAACATAAGGACCAGAGTTCAGATCCCAACATCCACGAAGCAAGCCGGGTGTCGCCCTATGCATACCTGTAGCACCAGCACCTAGATCCCTGGGTGGGGCAGAGATGGAGGACCACAGGTTTGCTGGCTTCAAGTCCAACAACAACAACACTGACCCCCACCAAAAAAATAATTATCAGTATCAAACTCAGGGGTGAGAGGAGATGGGGGGAAGGGAGGTGGTGAATATAATAAAGAATCTATCTTACTTAGGCTTTTTATTGCTTCGAGGAGACACCATGACCAGGGAAACTCTTATAAGAAAAACATTTAACTGGGGCTGGCGTACAGTTTCAGAGGTTCAGTCCATTATTATCACAGCAGGGAGCATGATGGTGTGCAGGCAGACGTGGTGCTGGAGAAGTAGCTGTAGGCTACAGGAAGTTGACTGAGACAATGGGCATACGCTGAGCATAGGAAACCTCAAAGCCCGCCCCCACAGTGACACACTTCCTCCAACAAAGCTACACCTCCTAATAGTGCCACTCCCTATGAGATTATGGGGGCCAATTACATTCAAACTGCCACAGATGCATTGTATGAAATTATTAAGGAATTAGTAAGTATAATTAAATAACATTATAATAATCATTAAACTCATAGTTAAAGTAATATTAGCAAGCTAAGGCTGTAACTCAGTTGGTAGAGCATTTGCCTAATGTTCACAGAGATCCTGTCAAGCCCCCAGCACCACACAAAATAGGCATGGTGGCCATACCTGTAATCCCAGCACTTGGGAAGTAGAGACAGAGGGATCAGAAGTGCAAGGTCTCCCTTGGATATGTAGGGAGCTGAGGCCAGCTTAGACTTTGTGAGAAAGACCTTATCTTAAAGTATAATAATAAAAGGCCAGGCATGGGGATGCATGTTCAATCCTAGCACTCAGGAGGAAGGGGTAGGTGGACCTCTGTGGGTTCGAGGCCAGCCTGGTCTATAGAGTGGGTTCCAGGTCAGCCAGGGCTACAACAGTCAGCTCTGTCTCAATAATAGTGATGATGATGATGATGATGATGATGATGGTTTCAAAGTAACAGATTTCTAATACCTCCTAATAACGTAAACTTAATCCTTCAAGCGTCAATCCCTCGGCGTCTGGTTTCAGAATCATTACAGTTTAGCAAACTAACACGTGAAGCGTGAGGACGGTCACGTAGTACAAAGGAAATGGGGACCACCCCTCGTCCCCTGCTTTTTAACAGGCCGTACTGAACAGAATAGGGGTCTACTTGTAAGATTTCTGTGTGTGGGCACGTGTGAGTGTAACATGTGTGTGACATGTGTGTGACATGTATGAATGTATGTGGCATGTGTGAGACAAGTGTGTGACATGTGTGAGATGTGTGTGAGTGAGACATGTATGAGTGTGTGTGACGTTTGTGCAACATGTATGTGGTGTGTGTGTGTGTGTGCTTGTGATTAAGCGCTCTTAGAGTATGAAGTCCTCTGGAGCTGGAGCTACAGGAAATTGTGAGTTGTCTGATGTTGACGCTGCCTCTACAAGCACTGTGTCATGTCTCCAGCTCCCCAAATGATCCTGACGTGACTTCATGCTCAGTCCTTCCCCAGACAGTGACAGTTTCTAAGAGTCCACTAACGACTGACTAGACAGCTCGTATTTTCATTTCGGTTTAGTAACTGAACTGGTTTATAGATATAAATAGTCTCTTAGTTAGGGTTGGTTGCTGTGAAGGGACACATAACCAAGGCAGCTCTTAAAAAAGAAAGCATTTAATTGAGGGCTGGCTTACAGTTCAGAGGTTTAGTCCATGACCATCATGGCGGGAGCATGGCGGCGTGCAGGCAGACGTGGTGCTGGGGAGCGGCTGAGAGTTCTTCATCCAGATCAGCAGGCAGTGGAGCCACAAGGCCCAGCTTGAGCATAAAACACCTCAACTCCCCCCCACACACACAGTGACACGCTTCCTCCAACAAGTCACACCTACCCCAACAAGGCCACACCCCCAATAGTGACACTCCTTATGGACCACATATTCAAACACATGAGTCTACGGGGGCCATACCTATTCAAACCACCCCATTCCACTCACTCCCAGGCCCCCATAGGCTTGCAGCCAGACACTTGTTTAAAAGTCTAAACTTCAAAGTCTCTCCTGCGATCCATGCAGTCTCTTAACTGTAATCCCCTGTAACATCAAAATGTAAAGCCAGACCACACACCTCCAACATACAATGGCACAGGATGTCCATTGCCATTCCAGAACGTAGGGAAGGGAGCACAGCGAGGAGATACTGGACCAAAGCAAGACCACGAACCAGCTGAGCCAACTCCAAACTGCACCTCCACGTCTGAGCCAACTCCAAACTGCACCTCCACGTCTGAGCCAACTCCAAACTGCACCTCCACGTCTGAGCCAACTCCAAACTGCACCTCCACGTCTGAGCCAACTCCAAACTGCACCTCCACGTCTGAGCCAACTCCAAACTGCACCTCCACGTCTGAGCCAACTCCAAACTGCACCTCCACGTCTGAGCCAACTCCAAACTGCACCTCCACGTCTGAGCCAACTCCAAACTGCACCTCCACGTCTGATGCCACAGCGCGCTTCAGATCTCCAGCTCCTTCCAGCTCTGCTGACCGCAACGCACGCCCTTCCCTGGGGTTGTTTCCACTGCCGCTCTGCTGGGCAGGGATCTTCGTGGCTCTGGCGTCTCCATCTCCAGCATCTTGTGCTCTTCAAGGCAACACAGCTTCACTCCACGGCCTCTCTGGGCCTCCGTGCAGGGACACCCCTGACGCATGCCTGGCTTCAGAGGCTTTCCTTAGTCTCGGAAGGAGATTATGGAACCCTTTTCCTTCTGTCCTTGACCCTAAACTCAGAATCATGTGGCAGAAGCTGCCGAGTTCTGTCGCTTGCTGGAGCCGGAACGTGGTCCCCTCATCCGCCGATTACATCTTCACCAGCTTTCTGTTTGCCATGGTTTCATTTGTGACTAAGCTTGGCTGTGCTGGAACTCAGGCTGGCCTTGAACTCAGAGATCCACCTGCCTCTCTCTCTGGAGTGCTGGGACTAAAGGTGTGCGCCACCCACCGCTAAGACTTTCTCTGATTCCTTTTCACATGTCGGAAGCTGAGCCATGCGGGGCCTCGCCGTGAGGTCTCCACTCACTTTATTCCATTTACCATCAGGCTTTCATTTAACCTGCTTATCTCCTTGAACACAGGACTCCTCTCCATCCCGCTTCCTGGTGCCCTTTTCTCCCCAATCTTGCATTTTGCGTTTTTTTTTTTTTTTTTTTTTTTTTGGTTTTTCGAGACAAGGTTTCTCTGTGGCTTTGGAGGCTGTCCTGGAACTCACTCTGTAGAGCATTTTGTGTTTTTACTCGCTCAACTTGCTCCTTTTCATTTCAAATCTTCCTAAGCGTGAGCACTAATAACCACAGGACAGAGTCAATACCTGGCTGTTGTGAGATTCCCTCTGCCAACAGAATTATCTAAAAATGGTCGCTTTAGCTTCAGGCAGGCTTTTTCAGACAAGGGCAAAAAGCAACCACATCCTTTGGCAAAATGTCACAAAACGGTCTGTGGCTACATACTAAAAATGTTGTCCTCTAAAACCTCTTGAGCCTGGCCTCCACAGTTCAAATCACCCTCAGCACCACTGTCTCCCTCGTTAATACCACAGTGGCCCCTTAAGCCCCCACTTTAACTGTTCAACTGCTTTTCTGATCCAAAATTCCAAAGTCCGCATTCCTCCAAACGAAAGCTCAGTCAGGGCTATCACAGCAACACCCCACTCCTGGTACCAGCTTCTGTCTCGGTTAGGGTTTTTTGTTGCTGTAAAAAGACACATCATGAGCCGGGCATTGGTGGCGCATGCCTTTAATCCCAGCACTTGGGAGGCAGAGGCAGGCGGATCTCTGTGAGTTCGAGGCCAGCCTGGTCTACAGAGGGAGTTCCAGGACAGCCTCCAAAGCCACAGAGAAACCCTGTCTCGAAAAACCAAAAAAAAAAAAAAAAAAAAAAAGACACATCATGACCATGACAACTTTTATAAAAGGAAACTTAATTGGCCAGCTTATGGTTCCAAGGTTTATTTGCACATTTCACATTGTTTTAGTTAGGTGTGTGTAAACTACTAGGGGTAAAGATACAGCTTTGTGGGAGAGCACTTGCCTAGCATTTCATGAGGTCCTAGGTTCAAACACCATCCCCCACCAAAAATTTTGGAAAAAAATTCTTTAGACCAAAAAAAAAAATGTTCCAAACTGGGTGGCTTAAACAGAAATGTACTCCGTTAAAATGCTAGAAGCCAACATCTTTGCAGAGGCCCCTATCCTTGTGCCTAGAGATTTGATAGTCATCTTCCCATGTATCATGGCAATCTTCTCTGGCATTCTTGCTGTTGGCAAGTCTGTGCCCTCGCCCCTTGCGTAAGAACGCACATTACGTTGCATTAGGCCTGACTTCCTATTCCCAACAAGGTCCCACTCACACATACTGTCCGGAGGTGAGCGTGTCTGTCTGCTAGACACCATTCTGAACACAGCAGAAGTCCCGCTGCAGCCTGAGACAAAAGAGAAAGAAAAAAAATTAGGAGAGGTGTGGCTTAGAAGAGGCGTGGCTTAGAAGAGGTGTGGCAAGGGAGAGAAGCCCTTCGCTCTAGAGCCCTTCATTCTGGAATCTAGCTGGCATTTCCTCCTTAAATCAAGAAACTTCAACGCAACTGATAAAACCCAGATCCCCCGTGGAGATAGTGCCTGTTCCCCTCACAGACCTGTCAAGCAAGGATGTCAGGCACAAGCCGTGCTCAGGGCCACAGTGCTTGTAGCCCTGAGTTAAGTGCGTCAGCTCCCCTCTAGACCCAGACAATACGCCGTGCACCCCAGAAAGCCACCTTACAGTTTCACGCCTAAGGGCCAGGGAGGTGGTCAACCCAAGGCTGACAACCCACTTTCCACACCTGGGACCCAGAAAAGGCTGGCTATTACAGCGCATCTGTGAGCCCGGCGCCCCTACAGCAAGATGGACTCGGCTGGCTATTACAGCGCATCTGTGAGCCCGGCGCCCATACAGCAAGATGGACTCGGCTGGCTATTACAGCGCATCTGTGAGCCCGGCGCCTCTACAGCAAGATGGACTCGGCTGGCTATTACAGATCATCTGTGAGCCCGGTGCCCCTACAGCAAGATGGACTCGAGTCTTTAGGAATTCTGGGGCCGGCTATCCCTGAGGACACAGCACCACAGCAGAAACAAGACAGAAAAAAAACCCGATTCAACGAGGCAGCAGGTGAGACATGACTTCCAAAAGGTGTCCTCTGATTTCTCTGTGGGCTTGTGTCCGCATGTTCGCTGGGGTGTCACATACTGTTCCTAGGAACAGAGCTTGGCTAGTTTCTTTGCGAGGATTCAGGGCAGGGCAGTCCAAATCAGTTATCATGGTCACTGAGTCATTGGCCGCTGCTTTTTCTGCTCTGGGGCCCATCTTGTCACGGCCCGATCCCGAGACTTATGACTTAGTTCTTTTGACAGTTATATATGGCCTCGAGCAATATAGACACCGGCATTTCAGAAACTAGGATATGCAGAACCATGTGGGGATGTAATAAAACAGGAAACTGGGCTCTGGAGAGGTGGCCCAGTGGGTTAAACGCACGTACTGCTCCTCGCAGAGGGTCCAAATTCAGTTCCCAGCACCTACAACTTCGGGTCGCTCACAACTGCCTGCATCTCCGGTGCCAGGAGATCCAACACCTTCTCCAGGCCTCCATGGGCACTGACCTCATGTAAACATAACCCACAAGGGTACACAGACACACACTGGTGATTAAAAATAAAAACTAATGCATGCTGTGGTGGTGCACACCTTTAATCCCAGCATTCAGGAGGCAGAGACAGGGTTTTTATTATTAAGACCTATTAGAACTCGTGCTACATATGTACGTGCACATACGGACTGTGTGTGCACACGTAAGGACAGAGACAGGTGGCCATGGAGGCCAGAGGCGTTGGCTCCTGTTAAGAGAAGCTTTTTCTTGAGAGAATGCCTTCCCGCCAGCCTAGTTCTAGAGCCGCATCAGTCCCAAATAAACACACAAGACGCTGTATTAATTATGAAGCTGTTGGCCTTGTTTGTTTCTTACTGGCTAGCTCTGCTTTAAGTAATTACCCCATAATTGTTAATCTAAGTATGTCTCTTACCGGAGAATAGTTCCGGGCTTCCTAGCCCCATGGCGTTACATCTTGACTCTCTCGTGTTTCTCCTTCCCAGAGTCCTCCTGGACTCCTAGTCCCACCTATCTAGATTCCTATTGGCCAGACAGTGCTTTATTAACATAAGACTTCCCCAACAGGCTCCCTTGGAGCTGGTGTTCCGGGTTGTTGTGAACCGCCTGGTGTGGGAGCTGGGAACCAGACGCAGACCCTCTGAAACAAGAGCAAGTGCCCTTAACTGCTGGCTGCCTCTCTGGCCCCCAACCTGGGTATTTGGGGATTTGATTTGGAGTCCTGCTGAGGGGAGGGACCGTGGTTGAGAAAGTGACAGCAGGGGAGAGCAGGAGACAGCCACAGGGGACATTGATGCCCAGTCTTCACTGGTTTCCATGGAGACAGGTAGGAGGGAGAGGGGTTGAGGATGGGTCACTCTGGGAAAGGTGGCAGATAGGGAAGTCTCTGGCTATTTGGTACTAGATCCTCGGGGTGACTTAAGGCAGAGGAGGAACTCAGCTCTTGCCTGTGAGAAAGCAAGCCAGCTCTGGGGTGAAGGGACTGAGAACCTGTCTCCTATATCATCACTTCAGTTTGGTTCATGGTTCCCTGCCTATGACCTCCTCCTCCAGGCAGTCTACACTGCTTCCTCCCAAATTTAGATGACCATAAAGAAATGCTCTGCGCCTTTAATACCAGCACTCGGGAGGCAGAGGCAGGCGGATCTCTGTGAGTTCGAGGCCAGCCTGATCTACAAGAGCTAGTTCCAAGACAGCCTCCAAAGCCACAGAGAAACCCTGTCTCGAAAAACCAAAAAAAAAAAAAAATGCTCTGACTTCTTTGTCTGGCAGTAGGCTGTCCTCATCCCCACCTGGTTGGTTTTTGTTTGTTTTTTGTTTTTTGTTTCTTTGTTTGTTTTTGCCTGTGTCCCAAGGGAAGGATTCTGGCATAAGAAGAACCCAGACAGGCCTTGCTGGGTCTCCCATTCAGTAACTTAGCAACAATGTCTCCCTGTTGTCCCTAACGGACAAGGGAGATCCAGGGGTCTTCCAGCTCGCTGAACAGGGCCGAGCACGAGGGGGACATGGCGGTTTTATCCCTTTCCTCACGCTCCTCTTACGTGTCTCTACATTGTATCCTTTGTGATAAGTCAGAAACATAGATGTTTTCCCGAGTTCTGTGAGCCA